AGCGTAAGCCAATTAATTCACACATACATGGCTTTGAACTGGAGGGCTAGGCGTTCAAAAAAAAAATGCAGTCGGGCTAGCTAGTGGACTGGTTGTAGTGGGTGGGCTTTGGGTCGCTACGAGCCGGCTTTCTAGCCGATCTCCCCTTCATTTTTTTTTTAGGATTTTGGGGGCAAAGTAAGGATGAGAGTGGACTAGAGTGGGGCTCGCAGGAGTAGTTTCTATCCCGTATTAGTTTAAAAAATATTTGTCCATCCCTATTTTTTTTTGGGGGGGGGGGGGGGGAATTTAATTCTCGCCCCGACCCGTTGGTAAATTTTGATATTCATTCATGTCCATAACAATTAATTTTTATGCTTTTAGGAAAAAAATTGAAAAAAAAATTAATAAAACCTCGAATGAATTTGCAAGAAAGATGAACCCTCATTATATGACAAATAAATCAAAATAAAAACAAAGGAGAGGAAGTAAAGTATTTTTTTAATAAAGAGAAGAGTGTGTGGATAGGTGGGATTTGTGATATTATGTATATGTATTAATAAGTGGATAGATGGGTGGGTGGGGTTTGTGTCTTTATGATATATGATATATATATATATATATGGGTATGAATTTCACAGGTTTAGCAAGGAGTGGTGGAGGCAGAGATGGGATGAATTTCAGTTTATCCCCGCCTCTATTCTCGCACGAGTTTATACGGGTATTTTCATAAACGTCAATCGTTCAATATGTATAGTCTATTCTGATCCAAACAAAATGAGTTAGAACAAATACTTGATTTTTTTCTGGTCCACTGCCATCCTAGAACAAAGTGAAAAAACTCATACTGCTGGAGAATCAGTGGCAAAATTTTTCATCCAATCTATCACGAATGTTTGTTATTTGGTTAGTGTAAAAGTAATGACCACAATTAGAAGAGTACTTTGAAATAATCGAAATACAGCTTATTTTTCAACTAATCAAGACAAATGATTATAGAATTCAACAACTTACTGATTTGCAGCTTCTTTGTCTTGTGAAATAATTGCTTTAATTGGAAGTTTGCATCACACCAGCAAATTTGTGAAGGCTTTTGTGAGGGGATGTAGATTCAATTGCAACGGAATTGTTGAATGACAAATTAAGCAATGAAGAGCAATTAATTTATAATAGGTCTACTCAACCATATTCCTTATGTGAAGGAGAAGATATTTTTTCATAGGACAATTAGTAGGTAATCGTACGTGGAATCGAAATATCATAATACCCCTCACTACCCAACTATGTTTCTTTCCTCACTAGCCAATATGTTTCTTTTTGAAAATGGAGATAGTTTTCCATGAGCTTGATTACAATGTCTAAAGAGATATCTTATCAAAAGTCACAAATAAATATTAATTAATGGGTTGTGTCATTCATCAATTTGTGTCGAGAAATGATCAATTCTAATCCGTTAATTTATTTTATTTTATTTTCTCCCCCTGTTGTTAAACGACCAGTATTGTGGGCTGTTATAAATTAGCCTCATCCCTTTATTATAGCTCCAATTGGTCATTAATCATTCAATTATCTCACAATTAATTGGACCAACTAATTTCAATTGGCTCCATTATAAACTAATGAAATGTTAATCTAAGTCAAAAAATTACAAAAATACCTTTGTTCTCTGAGCATTTTACAATAATACCCTCCATTGGGCTATTGGTAATTAGGATTTGAATTTAATAATGTCAAAGTCACCCCAATTATTTTTCAACTCATGTGTGATCTTTAATCTAATATTCTTTAACCACCTACCAATTTCCTTAAACCAATCCTTCCACGTCAACACACGAAATACAAAAATAAAAAGTGATTAAGAAAAGGATAGTAAAAGTGTAAATTCACAGGATGCACATTAATGACGAAGGCAGTGCACGAGGCAGTTGGAATTTAATGGAGGAGTTACTACGTTGCCAGTATTATGTCAGCATTGATGTTGTAGGAGACTCATTAATAAAAAGAAGATAATTACATCATAAAACAAACCAAATGTAAAGATGTACTACAAAATATTAATTTGGAATTATCGACCTAATTTATTATAATTTTTAAATTAATTTTGGATCCCATCAAACATTAGAATTTGATGTTAATTTAATGTTTTTAATGCAATCACATCATTAGTTTAACAAATTTAAGGGATCATGATATAATTTATTAACGGATATATTAATGGACATTAACGGTAGAAATCTAAATGTTACGTGTGTACAAATTTTAAGGGATCTGTGTATAATATTTTAAATGTCAGGAGATCTGAGTGATTAACTGACAAACTTCAAGAGCTCTGAGTATAATTCTTTCAAAAATTAATTTGGAATCAAAAATTGAAAAAATTATAATTTGAACCTTAAAAATTGTAGAATGATTTTGCTTGTAAATAAACTCATAAACTTGTGTGAAAACTCATAAAACTTATAAACTTTAGAGGTATAGTACTGAAAAATATTTGGTCAATTGTGACTTAAATATAAGGATCAATTGTGAGCATTTCCGGTCCGTAAGCTTTCTTCTTTTCGCTGCATATTTGGTCATTTACTTTAAAAATATAAGGGTCAGATGGTGGAGATGGAAAGATAGCAAGCTTTTCCATCCATGCGAGTGGATAGTTAAAAGCACAACACTATCTAGGAATTTTTCAGAATATATTTTACTTCTCCTGCCACAAAGAAAAATAAATTGCAAAAAACTAAGAAATCCAAATTGTGTTTTGGCAACATTAAGATTGGGGAGGATTGAATTGTGTTCGATCATTTTTTCACACCAACGTCCTAAGATGTACTTTTAAAAGTTGCCATTGCCAACAATACCCCTTAAAAAAAAGTATGAATTTTTTTTCTCTCTTCCCAATAAAATAATATCAAAATACATCAAATTAAAACAACAATCGTGAAACTACTTTATCTTAAAAAAAATTTGAAGTTGAAAATTTTCACTTTATTCCTTAAAAGGCCAAGTATCCCACATTATTCCCTAATATTTTAAATAGTTGCAATATGTCCCAATTAGTATATAACATCTCATTTCTGTCTGTTAACATCCCACTTGTCGTACACATAATGTAAATTAGTTCATTTTATATGGAGCAAGATGCAATTTTAAAATCTTTTAGGAGTGAAAAGATCATATTCTATATCTTTATGGAGGAAAAGGAAATGTTTTCTAATTATTAGTTGAACACGTTGCTAATAGTTTGAAAAATTAAAGGGTTAATATGTGATTATTTAACATTAAGGACGCAAAAGAAATTTTAGAACTTTTAAAGGAATGAAGTGTCATGGGACTGCAACCTGCAGTAATTTTTTCTCTAACAATGCCCTAATCCCAAATAAAAAAAATGCCAACCAGTGGTCTGACCTTAGCACCCAGTAGTTCCGAGCTTTTAACTTACATAACCTGGAGTGTAAATTCCACTTATATCCTACAACCTACATCATCTCCTCAACCATAGTATTTTTCCCCCCATTGTCACATTTTTTTCACATTGCACATCTTATCACGGTTATGGGTTTCATTTATCCAAGTTGTAGAGATTGAAAACATTAGACATTTTGTTGTTTTTCGTTCAAACAAGACAGATGATTGGTTTTGGGACAATGCAAAACTAATCACGTAGTTAAGGAGACAGTGGAAAAAACTCATCAGTTGAGTGACAAAACATAGTTGAAAGAGTCCAAACATAATTTTTCCTAAGGACAAATAATAGAAAGATGCAAACCAATAACTTTTTAGCTAAGGGCCAACCAGGGCTCCTACTCGAAAATTTTTTGATACAGGCCAGACTTGATCTTAGCTAATCCCCATCCCATGTAATAGTTTTGGGAAGAAAATACCCATGTGCCATTAGATTCTACGGGCAAAGTGAAAAAATTTCATATACTTAGAGAATAAAGTGCCAAAACTTTTCATCCAAGCTATCACGAATGTTTTCCACTGCGTTAGTGTAAAATTAATGACTATAATTAAAAGAATACTTTGGAGGAATCAAAGTACAACTTATTTTTCAAATAATTCTATAACTTTCTGATTTGCAGCTTCTTTGTCTTTTGAAGCAAATAATTGATTTAATTAGAAAGCTTGCCTCACACCAGCAGATTTGTAAAGGTTTTTTGTGAGGAGGTGAACATTGAATGCAGCTGAAATATTGGATTACAAATTTGGTGAACAAGAGAACCTAATTTATAATAGGTCTACTCAACCAGTTTCCTTGTGTGAAGGAGAAGATATTTTTTCATGGCACAATTATTAGGGAATTGTTTGTGAGATGACTATTCAATAATAACCCATCATTACCTCTACTGCCCCAACATCATCATCATTAGCACCCTGTAGTTCCGAGCTTTTAAGTTGCATAACCTAGAGTGTAAATTCCACTTATATCCTACAACCTACATCATCTCCTCAACTATAATATTTTTTCCCTCCATTGTCACGTTTTTTCACATTGCACATCTTATCATAGTTATGGGTTTCATTTATCCAAGTTGTGGAGATTGAAAACATTAGACATTTTGTTGTTTTTTGTTCAAACAAGATGGATGGTTGGTTTTGGGACAATGCAAAACTAATCACGTAGTTAAGGAGACAATGGGAAAAACTCATCAGTTGGGTGTTAAAGCATAGTTGAAAGAGTCCAAACATAATTTTTCCTTCGAACTAATAATAGAAAGATGCAAACAAATAACCTTTTTGCCAAGGGCCGTCAAGGGCTCCTACTCGAAAATTTTTTGACACAAGCTTGGCTTGATCTTGGCTAAGCCCCAAACCCTGGAATAGTTTTGGAAAGAAAATACCCAGGTGCCATTAGATTCTACGGGCAAAGTGAAAAACTTTCATATACTTGGAGAATAAATGCCAAAATTTTTCATTCAAGCTCTCACGAATGTTTTCCAATGTATTAGTGTAAAATTAATGACTATAATTAAAAGAATACTTTGGAGGAATCAAAGTACAACTTATTTTTCAAATAATTCTACAACTTACTGAATTGCAGCTTCTTTGTCTTCTGAAGCAAATAATTGATTTAATTGGAAAGCTTGCCTCACACCAGCAGATTTGTAAAGGTTTTTTGTGCGGAGGTGAAGATTGAAATGCAGTTGAAATATTGGATGACAAATTTGCTGAACAAGAGAGACTAATTTATAATTGGTCTACCCAACCAGTTTCCTTGTGTGAAGGAGAAGATATTGTTTCATTGGACAATTATTAGGGAATCGTGTGTGGGATGATTATTCATTAATAGCCCATCATTACCTCCACTGCCCCAACATCATCATCATTAGCACCCTGTAGTTCCGAGCTTTTAAGTTGCATAACCTGGAGTGTAAATTCCACTTATATCCTACAACCTACATCATCTCCTCAACTATAATATTTTTTCCCTCTATTGTCACGTTTTTTCACATTGCACATCTTATCATGCTTATGGGTTTCCTTTATCCAAGTTGTGGAGATTGAAAACATTAGAGATTTTGTTGTTTTTCGTTCAAACAAGACGGATGGTTGGTTTTGGGACAATGCAAAACTAATCACGTAGTTAAGGAGACAAAGGGAAAAACTCATCAGTTGACTGACAAAACATAGTTGAAAGAGTTCAAACAGAATTTTTCCTAAGGACTAATAATAGAAAGATGCAAACAAATAGCTTTTTAGCTAAGGGTCGTCCTGGGCTCCTATTCAAAAAAATTTTGATATAGGTCAGGCTTCATCTTGGCCAAGCCCCATCCCATGGAATAGTTTTGGAAAGAAAATACCCATGTGTCATTAGATTCTACGGGCAAAGTGAAAAAATTTCATACACTTGGAGAATAAAGTGCCAAAACTTTTCATCCAACCTATCACGAATGTTTTCCATTGCGTTAGTGAAAAATTAATGACTATAATTGCAAGAATACTTTGGTGGAATCAAAGTACAACTTGTTTTTCAAATAATTCTACAGCTTACTGATTTGCAGCTTCTTTCTCTTTTGGAGCAAATAATTGATTTAATTGGAAAGCTTGCCTCACACCAGCAGATTTGTAAAGTTTTTTTGTGAGGAGGTGAAGCTTGAACTGCACCTGAAATATTGGATGACAAATTTGGTGAACAAGAGCAACTAATTTATAATAGGTCTACTCAAGCAGTTTCCTTCTGTGAAGAAGAAGATGTTTTTTCATGGGATAATTATTAGGGAATCGTACATGGAATGAAAATACAATAATAGCCATTGCCAAGTTTGTTTCTTTCCTTAGTCCCCTGATGTTTCTTCATCAAAGTGAAGATATTTTTCCATGGGCCTGATTACGATGTCCAAAGAGATGTTGTGTCAAAAATTATAAATAAATAATGATTACTATAGTTTATTTCGAGTACATTACAAACGATTACGATGCTTACAATTTGATGAAATAATTTACCGCTTCGAAAAAGATAAGATAGATTCCAAATTTTTTGAAGAAATTTTGGACAATTTATCTAATAAATTACAATACAATTCAAATCTAAAAAAAAATAAACAAAATGATTTTTACTTTTCTCGGTTAAGATCTTTTTAAATTTTATTTTAAAGTTAATCTAAGGGCTCATATTAATACCCCAAATTTAAAATTTAATATGAAAAATAGGCTCCTAAGGGTGTGTTTGGGGTAACTTTTAAATGTATTTCTAGAAACTTACAATTTCTCATAGGGAGAGTTACACTCAGACCCCCTAGGTTTGTCACTTAATAACTCAGACCCTCTAACATTTGAAATATTACACATAGACTCATTGAGGTTTGTACACACTCCTGTTGTAAATATATCCGTTAAAAAAATTTACAATAATACCCTCCACTCAGATATTGGTAATTAGGATTAGGATTTAATAATGTCAAAGTCGTCCCTAATTAATTTTTCAACTCATGTGTGATCCTTCATTTTGTGGCTTGCCATCAGATCCAAACTCAGCACCAAAGACAGAAACCAATATTTTTTTGCTGAAATTAGTTTGGAATGCTCTCTTTGTAACTCATCATCCAACTCACATGCCCTCTTATTCTTTGAATGCTATTTCTCTCATTCTATTTAGGCCCAATTGCCACTCCTCAGTTGGCAGCAAATGCAAAACATGTCATGGCAGGGGATCATCAACTATGCAAGCCAGAATTGGAAAAGTAATTCTATGTGCACCGCCCTCCTAAAGCTCAGTCTTGCTGTTTCAATTTATTACATTTGGATGGAAAGAAACATTAGAATTCACCAAGACAAGTCTAGGGACCACTCCTCCCTCCTCACCCTCATTGTCCAAACTATTAGAGACAAAACTGCTTCTCTCAGATTCAAGCCCAGTAACAGAAACCTGTGACTCGCTCAATTGTGGCAAATCCCCAATAATTGTTTGGGCTATTCTCTTCCCTAATGCATTTTGTTGGAAGTCTGGACAACCATCCTCACTTCCCCTAAATTCAATAGTTTGGCTTTTAATAGTTGATTCCTATTGTTTGTAAGGGAATTCACCCTCCTGTATCTTGTCCTTTTTGAATCAATAGAATCATTTTATCTTCCGAAAAAAAAAAATTAGTCAAACTCCATTTGGTTGTTTAATAGCATACTCATTTGAATTCCAAATATAAGTTCTTAGTTTACAACGCCATGGAAACCAACCTTATAGTTTGCTCCAAACTGCAGTGAAATTTTACTTAACATTTCCAAAAAAACATGTTGTCTTAACACAATGAATAGCACTTATTTGAAACATAATATTTATTGACTGAGGGGGTGGGTAAGTACATCAAATTAGATTTAAAACTAGATTTATAAGATAGAATATACAGTTTGTATCGCAGTGAGTATTAGCAACACACCAGCCCCAACCACTGAAATGGTAGACCACGGGCTATTGAAATAATTATGCTTTAATTTGGCCATCCATGTATGCCGACGACGTTCGCAGTGTTTGTTCACTTTGTTGAAAACTTTCGAGTAGCAAAACGTCGCAGAATTTATGCTGATTTGATTGCCCAATTTGTTAAACAATGTAGAAACCACTTTATCATCACCTAACCAGTTATCAATAATTCCATAATGGCGAAGTTTTTCAGCATCCTTCAGGAAATTGATGAGGCAATCGATGACCTTGGCGTAATCAATCACATAATTTGGTTTAGTTCCCCCATTATATTCCTCGAATGCCATCAGGTTTCTGAAGAAGACCTCTGTTTCATCTTCAATATTTAGAGGAGGGATTTTCATTTTTCCATGTTCGAAGTTTACATCCAACAACGAGAAACTTTCTGTAGCCTTCTCGAATTTAATTCCAGCTTCTCTAAGTTATGTGGTACATTTATAAAATTCCATTCTGTTTCTTGGTTTGCATCTACCATTTTAGCAAATGAAGAACACCAAGTATCATGTACAAGACCCAAAAGATGATTGACATTGTTATGTGGCATTTTAGCATGTCTGAAATACGAGATATCTGGAATGGCATCAAGTAAAAACCTGAGAGCTAAGATTAAAATATTCTCTTGTGGGTCTCCATGTTTGGATCTTTGCTCATGTCAAATAACTTGGAGAGGACAAATAATGGAAGTTGATTCTCAAATAACAAAAGATCACGGCGTATATTCAGCCAAATGACACTTGCTTGAAAAATAGGGTCATCTATATGTTCCTGTTCTTCACAAGAGAACTTGCGAAATAACTCGATTATAAAGGACCCATCAAGTAGCATCATTTCCACAAACTCATCCCTTTCTAGCTTTTTGTTCCAATTCTTGCATGGCTATGACATACATATCCACACTCAACTCATTTCTCCGTTTAAGCAACTCTTGCAGGTAAAATAGTTTGTGTTCTTCCATCATTTGTAGCTTAACTTTGCCGCGGTGATAAGGACCAATTGCTACTATTTCTGGTTCGTATGCTTCACTGTTTTCTCTACGTAGTGCATCGTTTATTTTGAACAGGTAAGGTTTATAGGGTGTAGATGGTAAAGTAGCAAGCTTTTCGGCGATGCAAATAGACAACTGAGACATCTGATTTTCCTTCACAATTTATGTAGAATGACAAACAAGTATCTAAGAATATTTCAAAAGATATTTTACTTCACATGCCGCATAAAAAAATCTCAAACCAATATGAAACCACACTGAAAATAATTAGACATCTTTTGAAAAAAACAAGGTGGAAAGCCTATGCCACTTTTGTCAAATGAATATTTAGTAAATACACAAGATGGGACATGATAGGCCTAGAAGTCCAAACACATGGGGTTGGTCTCTCTCTTAACCATGACTTTTTTCAGATTGTCTCTTTAACTAATATGTTTTTCACATTGTACCTTTAACTTTGTGATTTATTTTGAATATCTTAATGATTAATGTCTGTTATAAATTTTGGATTGTTTTAAACTTTTAGTTATTTCAATTTGACCCTTGAACTTTTTAAAACCGTTTCAATAGGTCTCTTTTGATAGTTTAAGTTCAAGTGTAAAACCTCACTGCCTTTCCACACAGGTCCAATTTTAAAATCTTTCAGGAGTAAACAAATCATATTTTTATATCTTTATGGAGGAAAAGGAAATGTCATTCAATTACTAATTGGGGCACGTTGCTACATACAAGTTTGAAAAATAAAGGGTCAATATGTGATTATTTAACATTAAGGGTGCAAATTAAATTTTAGAACATTTAAAAGGAAAAAGTGTAATTAGCTCTTCAAAATTTCTCACTACGGAGAAAATATTCCTTGCAACAGTTATATCACGTCATTAGCGATACATGGTATCACCAACCAATGATAATATATCATGTGTATGTGGTGTATTCCATTATTTAGTAATTGTTAATAACTACCACGTTGACTAACTAACACGTTTGAATAGTTGAGTTCACTTATATTTATATGATGTATTCTTATTAGTTGGTGATACCACGTGTCACTAATGACGAAGTAATATTACCGTTGCAATGAATATTTACTCCATGTAACGAGGGGTGAACTATATCAAAACGTGTTAAACTAGGAAACTACACTGAGTATATGGAAGTAAACATGCACATTTATATTACAATACTTGGATAATCAAAACAAATGCTTATAAAATTACACAACTTACTGATTTTCAACTTCCTTCTTTTGTTCGTCGGCTTTTCTTCTGAAATAAGCGATTTGCTTGGACTGAAAAAATGTTGATGACAAAGAAAGTAGTGAGCAGCCATTAATTTATAAGGTAGATTAGATTCATTTCCTACAATTCACGTAATCAAATGCACATGGCTTTCAATGGCGGGGCTAGCCCGTGGGCCGTTTGTAGCCTACGGGCTTCGGGCCACCATGAGCCGGCTTTGTAGCCAATGCACCCTTCATTATCAAGTATGTTTTCGACAGAAAATGTCAATGTGTCATTAGATTTTGGGAGCAACCTGAAAAAACTCATACTTTTGCAGATGGAGCGGCAAAATTTTTTGTCCAATCTATCACGAATGATCGTTATTTGGTTAGTGTAAAAGTAATGATCATATTTAGAAGAGTACTTTGAAGGAAGCGTAATAGAATTTATTTTACAAATAATCAAGGCAAATAATTATACAATTCTACAACTTACTGATTTGCAGCTTCTTGTTTTCTGAAATAATTGGAAGCTGGCCTCACACCAACAAATCTGTAGAGGTTTTTGTGAAGGGCCGTAGATTGAAATGCACCTAAAATGTTAGATGACAAATTAGGTGAAGAAGAGCCACTAATTTTTAACAGGTCAAATCAAAGTCAACCTTATCTCTACTGTGAAGGAGAAGATATTTTTTTCACAGGACAATTATTAGGGAATCGTATGTGGAATGATTATACAATAATAGCCCTCTCTACAGAAGTATGTTTGATGTTTCTTTCCCCACTGGCCAAGATTGACCTGGAGTAATTTTTTCTCCAACAAACCCCTAATCCCAAATAAAAAAAGAAAAATTGGGAGGTCAGTCTCCTTTGTGGACTTTTTTTGGTGATAAGTCCATCAAGAAAATTTGTTTAATATTAAGTTCATTTTAATCTTCATTGTCTAAAATACCCTCATTAGTTATATTTAATTACAACAAATTTGAAAACTAACAATTCTTGAATTTTAGAAGTTTGACTAATATTAAAAAAAAAAATTCATATCTATCTATATCTATATATAGAATAAAATTATTTATTTCTCTCTCCCTCATATATATATATAGTAACATTAAAAATAAAAAATAGTAACATTCAAACACAAAAAATAGTATCACTTAAATACAAAAAAAATAGGAACATTCAAAAATAAAAAATAGTAACATTGAATATTAATATTTGAAAAAAATAATAATAATAGTAACATGATCAACAAAAAAAATAACATTAAATATTGATAATTCAGAAAAATAGTAACATTCAATATTAATAGTAACATACTCATTAAAAAAATAGTAACATGCACAACAAAAAAATAGTAACATGCATAGTAACATTCAATATTAAATTAACCACAATCTTTTCAGCAAAAAAAAAAATGAGAGAGAGATATAGAGAGAAGTGGTAGTGATGTCAAATTTAAATTTGAATTTCAGATTTTATGGAAAAAAAATCTGCATTAAGTGTAAATCAAGGATGACTGTTTAGGAAACTAATTTAATGTTGAAGATTATTTTTTAAGTCATTAGAAGGACATTTTGAAATTTAAAAAAAAAAATAAATTTAACTACTTATTAATAAGATTAAAAACGGACTTACTCCTAAATAAGTTTTTTTAGCGGACTAAATTCAGTATATGTCACTAAAGGAGGACTCACCCACCAATAGCCTGACCTCAGCATCCCGTAGTTGCTGGACTTTTAACTTGCATAACCTTGAGTGCAAATTCCACTTATATCCATAACCATGAGTGCAAATTCCACTTATATGCTACACCTCACATAATCTCCTCGACTATAATATTTTTTCCCTCCGTTGTCACGTTTTTCATATTGCATATCTTATCATGGTCATGGTTTCATTTATCCAAGTTGTAGAGATTGAAAATATGTGTTTTGTTATACATTTAGACATTTTGCTATTTTTCGTTCAAACAAGATGGATGCTTGGTTTTGGGACAATGCAAAACTAATCAAGTAATTGAGGAGACAATATGAGAAACTCATCAGTTGAGTGACAAAAACATAGTTGAAAGAGTCCAAACATAATTTTCCCTAAAGACTAATAATAGAAAGATGCAAACAAATAACTTTTTAGTTGAGGGCTGTCCACGGCTCCTACTAGAAAAATTTTCGATACAGGCCAAGCTTGATCTTGACTAAGCCCCATCCCATGGAATAGTTTTGGAAAGAAAATACCCATGTGCCATTAGATTCTATGGGCAAAGTAAAAAAATTTCATATACTTGGAGAATAAAGTGCCAAAACTTTTCATCCAAGCTATCACAAATGTTTTTCATTGCGTTAGTGTAAAATTAATGACTATAATTAAAAGAATATTTTGGAGGAATCAAAGTACAACTTATTTTTCAAATAATTCTAAAACTTACTGTCAAACACAAGGAAGAAAAGTATATCATTTCTACTTTTCTTTTTTGGAGGATAGGAAGTGTATATGGATCTCTCCTACTTTCTATCTCTTTTACTTTCCATAGTTCCTATCAAACGAAACATTGCAGTACATTACAAAGAATACGTGTTACAATTCAATGAATTAAGTTACGGCTTTGAAAAAAGTAAGATAGATTCCTAATTTTTTCAAGAAATTTCAGACAATCCTATTTTATTATAACCTCACATTTTTTTTCTTTTAACGTTGGACACAGTACTAAAGTTGTTCTTGTATCTTGGAACTTATAATCATATGAAATCATCTTCTTAAATTTGTTCTTGTACGTAGAGTGTGGGTAGGGCAGAGATAAGGTTATTCACCCTCTAATTACCTCCAATTGGTCAGTAATTAATCATCCAATTATCTTATACTCCTTCTGTTCCTAAATATCTATCGTTTTATCTCATTTTTTTTGTTCCACAATATCTGTCGTTTTATGAAACCAAAGCATAATTAATATTTTTTCTTCCAAATTTACCTTTATCTCTGTTTTCTAATAAGTGCTTAATAAATTAAGTGTAGGTTAAGTGTATTTCATATTCTTTTTCTTTCCAATACGTATTGAATAAAAGTATTTTAGTCTTGTGTAATTATTTTTTACTCATACTAGAGCTATTTAATAGTTTCCTTAATACTTGTGCAAAAACCTTAAATGACAGATATTTAGGAACGGATGGAGTAACTAATTGGACCAACTAATTTCAATTAGCTTCATTAAATGACTTAAATGTTAATCTAATAAGATTTTCAATCGTATAACCACTGCGAATTTATTCTAAATTGTTAGAGACATTTAACAAAAAAATTAATTGACAATGGGTGAAGAAACTTCTTAACCACCAACCAATCTTTGATAGCCTTAATCCCATTAAGAGGGAGAATCTATTCATGTTCCGATCACCACCTGCATTTGCCCAACTGTGAATTACAGATAACTCTCTAGAGTTTTCACTCTTTTTCACTTATGATACAAGCTCGCTTCACAATCTCTCTTATGTGAGGCTTGGGTTTTATGTAGAGTAATAAAATAGACTAAAATAGACAAACAAACAAATTGAGACTTCAAATGAGTGAGAAACTTGTCTCACTGAAATGACTTTAAGGTATTTATTTTTGTGTCGTGTTCATATTGATCCACATAAGCGATTAAAAAATTTAACACTCAGATTTAAGTCTAAAATTTGATTGTCACTTAATCGAACATATGCTCATTTTTTGTAGAAACTAAAAATTAACTTAATAAATATAATAATAAAAATGAGTAAAAATATCTTTTTTTTTTTGTATAATAGTTATGTCACTGCACTACTTGATAAAATATAATAAAAATAATATTTTATTCTTTTAATACTAGTCAATTTCGTGTTGTTTGTATTTGACACTAATTCGGCCTATTTATAATTCGTGTTAACGGGTTATATTATATACAGATTCGTATTGAAAAATAATTAATTCTAACCCGTTAATTTCATGTCGATTACGAATCATGTTTTCGTATCGTATCAAAAATTGTCATCC